GAGGGCTCCCAATCGAAGGGGTGAACTGCAATTTTACATCTTACTCCTTAGTGATTATATAATGCATAGTGGAGGATATCATGTCATCTACACCCACAGAACACCACCGCCCTACTGTGCACTGGCTTGGAACTGGTACGGACTCCCATACTCCACTAGAAGAAGGGGGGAGAGTGAGAGAACACATTGGAGAGTCTGGAGGAACAGGATGTTATTGCTTTTTGGATGGTTCTGGTCAGTTTTGCTGTTGGGGAATTGATTTATATTTAATAGAAATCCTTTTGATACCAGATGTCGGGTCTCTGGATCATTATATATAAAAGGTAACGTGCCATGTTCTGGAGACAGAGTGGTTATAGATTTCCTCCGGTCTCTTGAACTTGAGGTGAAGATGGTATGATCTTCATCCTACCCCCATGTAGATATTGGTTCCCAGCAGCATGGGTTTTGGATGTAGTTGACTTACCAAGTAAGGTCCGTCACACCATAGCCACTCTACAGTTAGGGGCACATCCATTGATTTACCCACTTTCATACTTTGTGAGATAAAGTTACATACATATTTCAGGGTTAGGATCACTATCCTGCCTCCATTCTCTCCCACTTGGATGTCCTCCTCTCTTTTTCCATCCTTATCTACCACTCTTCATGGATGGGCGAAGAGTATACCTGCTCAGAAGTGGTGCTGTTTCCATCTTCGGATTTGACTCTCTCATTTCCAGAAGTATTCTTTGGACACTTTAGGGGGGTACTTCTGTCATTCAGTTGGACCTGTCCCTCCACCTAATCAATGTGAGATTCTAGTTTATCTTTTGTAGGAGTAAAGTGCCATAGTGGTAGTTATGATTTTCCTATACTGAAAATTAATTTCTGATAGATACTTCCCTCCACTCCCACATCCCATCTTTCCTCCAGTGCTTATGGCTTCTGTCAAACTTCGAAGTGATAGTTTAGTAGGCATATAGAATTAGTTGCGTGTGTCACATATGTCACGCTCCTATTGGTGGAAAAGTGATGCATGATGATTTGCATGAGAGACATTTGATTCCCATGGGGGGGGGGCAGAAGGCTTGTGGCATGCATAAAGGAAAAACAGTTTACATATAGAGGGCAGCACTGGATGAGAATAGCTAATCTTGTGAGAAGAGTGAAGTATTTATTGGAAATGCATTTTCAGTATAGGAAAATTATAACTTTTTCAGTAAACAGAATCAAATGCTCTGTATACTCTCTATTATTGAAGTTGCATTAGAATCCAAGGTGCACTAACACATAGCATTTATGCAGATCATTAGTTATCACAAGCATCCAGTTTCAGTCAAGATGCCTACAAGGAAAGGAGTTCACAGACTTTCAAAGAGGAATTCATTTAGTTGCAGCATTGTTTACAACACAGCATGCAGACAACTAGGGACCATTTCTTTTTTCAAGGCTCCACTGCATAACCACCTCAAGAGGAAGAAATTTTAAGTAAAAATTAAAACAACCCTTTAAGGAAATTATAAGCATAATTTCGCCTGTTAAACTTTTATAAGGTGTTGGTTCTATAAGCTAATCACTTTCTTAGAAAAAAATCTCTTAACTGAAGTCTAATTTGTCTCTTTAAAATCTTAAACTTGTGTCCTTTTGTCATGTAATCTTCAAAATTCAGCACAAAGAAATTATATATATATATACACAAGATATATATCCTGTTGATCCCCTGAACAATCTTGTAAACTTCAGTAAAATAATTTCTTGTCTTCTTTTCTCAAGAGAAAATAAATTCAGAGTTATTTATTTATTCTCATACAATAACTTATCCATCCCCAGAAAAATCTTAGTGACACCTCATTGAGCCCTTTTAAATCCTGTCCAGGAGCATTGCTAGCTGCTGAAAAGATTTGTGACTTAGGCCCTAGAAGCAACTACTATTCAATTAAAACAATTGCAATGTATGATAGCATAGTTAATAAAGATAAGATAAAAGCATGATAAACTGTGGATCTGTGATTATTCCTTATTTTCTTTGTCTGTAAGAAAAATCATTAAAATTATTCTCTGAAAGGTATTGTTATGACAGCGGAATTCACGTGACGCTGGTAACACATGATGAGTTTCTAGAAAATTCACGAAGAAACAAGATGTACGCTTTTTGTATATATAAGACTGGTAAGAAGTGACGCCAACAAGGGAATTGAATTGCAGACAGAGATAGAGACGAACAATTGAGTCAAGCGTTGTGAATTATAGCGTTTGTTTAAGTTAATTGACTGTGGGAATTAAGTGTATTCCAAAATAATCAGAAATCTTAATGGTGGTATTTTGATTACATGTATAGTTGATATTCCAGCTGTATTTTACAGCAAGGTATACTTTTTGATTAAGTTTAAACTCAACTTTTCGTTTAACAAATGGACCATTTTAAAAGACTAAACTAAAAATAATGATTTCTCTGGCCTGTATCAATATGATTCTCATGTACAGCTAAGAACTGTTCTGCAAAGAGCATTTGATAATTTCCCAAAGGCCTAAACTACTACAGTACATGTAAATGTAGAGTTCATTTCAACATTTTCAGTAGTTAGAAACTTCAAATTTCTAGCTTTAATTATCTCAATAAAATAATATATATATAATTATTTATTAACTTAATAGTTAACTTTTTATTAACTTAACCAATAAATTGCAATAATCTCTTTTTACTAGTTATCTGCTCTAAATTTTTTACAATTGTTTTTAATTTTTTATATGTTCCACCAAATTTCTGCTTTACAGTATCTCAGCTGTATAAGTTGCTGAATTGTGCTGGTGCTACCTCTTGCTGGCTTTACTTGTCTTCAATATTCTATTATAATAAGAAACAAAAAAATATCTCACTCATTTTACTGTATTACTTTATGATTTTTGCAGGGATCTTAAGATACGTTGAGGTGATGCTTCTATCCTGTCATAGATAAGAAGACCAAAACTTTACAAAGTATTACATGCAAGGCTTAATTAATGATTTGTATAAAGAGATAATTATTTCTTTTGACTTATAAACAATATGTCTCTACTGCTAGTAACAGAGCACTGCCTCAGTGGCTTGAGTGACTGATGTATCACTGTGCCAAGATTATTTTCTTTGATCACATTACTGAGTGAGTTGTCATCTCTATTAATCCAAGTTATGATAACTAAAATGCATTACTTTTCACTAAGTATACTTAAAGGCCATCTGTCCAACTTACCAAGTGATCCAAGTTATTCTGAAGTACCTCAACATTCTTAGTACAGCTAGAAATACCAAAGAGTTTAATGTAATTAAAAACTTAACTAATTTCTAATTATTCTCCTATCCATGCCATTAATGTAAACAAGAAAAAAAAAGACCTGACTTCTGAGACACATCACTAATATCAAAGGTCCAATATGACTAGACTCTATTAATAATACTTTACTTTTTTGAAATTTTAGGCATAGTAGACACAGTAGGTTTGAGAACTTTAATGGGCTGCAACTGCCTGTTAAATTAAAAAGGGACATTATTTCAGCTCCCATACTGAAGTATTCTTCTATACTTTACCCATTAACCTGATTAATTAGTTTTTCACCATCCCTTCACATCAAATCCAGATTAATAAGGCAAGATTTCCCATTTAGTGAATCCATATTACTTGTCTTTTGTAATATCATATTTCACTAATCAATTTTGGAAAGCTTCATTTATCAGATACATACATAAGAATCACTTCCTGTGATTTATTAGCCCATTTTAAAAAATAGGATTAACCTCTGATACTATAATTCTCAGGAATTAGCCTACTGCATATATGTATATATGAGTCTTTTATCCCATTTATTTAGTATTCTTAAAAATATTTGACTATTTGATGTAAAATGTGGAGTATTGGCCCAGCCACCTAAAGTTAACCACATCTTAGTAATTGAAACTTTGAAAGATTGCATGAAAGGAAACCATCTGACATTGTTTTCATCACCCAGCAACTTTAATGAGAGTTTAAGACTTCAAGCTAAAAGATTCACTGTACATAAGGGTCTCTATTTTGGTGAATCACATTGAATGGCTTCAGCCTGTCTCATTTATTACAGCTGTGAATGGAAGGTTTAAACAGACTCACTAGATACTTAAAGCAGCAAAAGCAAATTGATGATTGTCATGTAAAGCAATAAATCATGTTAATTATTGTTTGTTTTCACTGGATGGACCTGAATTTTACAATAACTTAGAAGACACTGTGGATATAACTGTCATTTTAATTGTGGAATCAGGATGTGGACATGTTTTAGCTTGTTTGTTGATTGGGCTTGGTATTCTGTTAATAGCTAAGAAAATCATTAATGTCTTGTAATTACATAATAGCCTTAAATAATGTTGCACCTCTTGCAGTAAAGGGAAGGACCATACTTTTTTCATCATGATTATGTGCTATGCCATACTACACATGCTTAGTTCCTAGTAGTTTTAACAGGTGTACATACAGGTACATGCAGAATGTGTTTTAGCAAAGAGATGTCTAAAGCTCTAAGTTAAATCCAAATTAACTGCTCTTAGATGTTTTGAAATACTGTATGAGAGACAAAAGGGTCAGACTTTGGTATATTACTATTCTTGGAACAGCTTTATAAGATGAATGGTACTCTTCCATCAGGTATGGATTAAAGTTGGTGGCAAGTGCTAATTAAAGATTCAAGAGTGAGTAATGCCAAAAGATGGCCCACTCATTGACAGACTGGGAGCTCAAAACATGTTTTCAGTTACAAAGGTGGTGGTCAATTAATATTGGTAGCATACTAGTATATATGTTGTAAGTATTTCAGATGCCAGTATTCTTTTGTGGTAAGTCATTTTGAGCATATTGTCATGTAGAAAAGTTTAGTGAGGCAGATTTTACAGTGTCTGTGGCATAAGTACGAATAAAACTGTGTACAGAATTACACATTATAATAGTTGAATTTTTTATCTAACCATGTAAGCATACTAACCAAATGAATTTCTTTTTTTTTCTCCCTTATAGTTATTGCAGAATTTGGGAAAAGCAGACAAGACCACTGATGATCTTTTTGAAATATATGTTCACAATTTCAAGAAACAGCAAGTGAGTTCTCAACTTTTGTATTTGGAATAAACAAAAGACTGTGTTTCAAATATGCATGTATATGTGTGTGTAGTTGCCCTACCCAGTAGGATAAGCTAAATAGTTTTCTGGAAGCTGTTAAGTAGAGACAAAATAAAAGCCCTACACTTTCTTAGTTATTTCAATTCCATTATGTAGGTAGGTCTACATGACTTCTGAATGAACATGTATAGTCTTTTTTCTTAATTATTTCATGATTGTGTTTTGGAAGGATATATTTGCTCAAAATAGAAACTTACCAATGCTATATTTTTCACAGAGGAAAGGTTTCAGTCCATTTATAGCTAATTTCTCTTTAATATGGAAGCCGTGATCTTCCTAAGCCATACAGATCTTCAGTATCTTTTCTGTGGTGATGCTCCAGAATGAATAGAATTTTCACAGAGAAAGAAAACAAAGCTATATAATGACTGAGAATCTGCCCTTACTGAAAACTATAGTTTCAAGAAGTATTTTGGGGGTTATACCTACTGGCTTGCAATTTTATTGCACTATTATAAAGTGTTTTACCAACTGTTTTAGATACGTCTGACATGTTTATTTAAAAAATCAGATGTTTTGTATTCAGATTTATAAAGTGAAACTAAAAGATTTAAAGATTATTTCAAGTAGCTATCATTTTAATTTGTGTGATGTATCAGTTACATGTAAATTTCCTCCGTAAAAAGAAAAATTATTTTTTATTTTGTTTTTGATTGTTTGGCATACATTTATTGATGTTATTACCTTCCTCTCACATATTTTGGACAATCTGTAAATTTTTTGTTTCTTGCAATTTGTGTTTTCTTGATTGTTAAAAATAAGAAATGATGAGACTGACTGTTCTAACTTCTAATACCAAAGCCTGTGTATGCTGAATTATTGGTAAGCAATTCATAGTTACCCACTTTCAGCATTTTGTATCATGTAACAATGTTACTAAAAGCTTGTTTTCTTAAAGACTATAAAGCACAAATGCTTAAAAAATTAATAATAAATAAACTGCATTGTTATACTCATTTAACTTTGACTGAAGTCTGTTGATCAAATAGACTTTTTGTTATTTGCAAGGACCTTAAGTTGTTCTCTACTTATAGGTTCATTAAGTTTTGTATAATCCATGGTTCTTAATGCCATGATAGTGTTTATATCTGTGTGTTCTGGATCATTCCTGTAATGCCTTACCAGTATCTTAAGGCTTCTTTTGTGCTACTGCAAAATCAACCGAGTAGCAAAGTTTCTTTTGCTCTTATCTCATCAACCCTTCTGCAGTACCTTGTAAAAAGCTACTTAGCAAACCTAAATCCATTTTCTTCTTTTTTACAGTAAAAAACAAGTACTTTCTTAATGTGCATACTCCAAGTGTACCACTTTACACTTCTCAAGATTGAAATTTATACTGAACCTATATTTCTCATGATCTTAATATAGTTATTTTTGAAATAATGCTACCCAACTATCCACTTAACTAAGTAGCTTAAATAGTGAAAACCAGTAATCCCAAAACTAGTTTCTTTGATACTTGCTAAGTCATACTTTTCCAATTGAAAAACTCCTGCTTTATCACCAACTTCAACAAGCCAAATACATACCTATATTTTAATTTCTCCACCATTTCTAAAAGAAACCTGACTTACTAATTAACTTTCTGAAAGCCAAGGTGTATGACTACTACCTTGCTGACCCCATTCTAAGAAACAGTTATTAAACAATTCTAATAAGCTGGTGAGGTAGGAAAGTCAATTTTGGAACTGTCCTGAGCATATTTCAATGACAAAAAAATCTTTTAAGGTAACTTTTCTGTGAATGATGATTTTTGACAATATATACCAATAATATGATTACAGCAGAGTAACATAATAAGACTGGTTACTTGATTTTTCTCATTTCTTCTCTTTTTTATAATTTAGTCTATTATTATTATTAGCAGTTTTCTAATTATGAATTTCCTCACTTTCAACTTTTGAAGATAACAGTTAAAACACTACCATCTATTTATTTAGCTTTAATGTTCTATTATCTATCAATCAAGCAAAAACTGGGAACTTTATCCTCAAGAGTTTCCCTGGAAGTTTCCCTTCAACAATTTTAGAATTCAAGTACACCTCTAAACAAAATTTGTCAGAAAAAGTATATTGTCTTAAGTTAAATATAGTTCTAATACACCATAGTACAACAGACAACACAATCTAGATTCTGAGGTACCTCACAGAACAGCTATATCCCTCACTCGTCTTCTTATGAGATTTCCATGCCACTAGCCTTGAGTTAACTTCCACCTAAAATGCACATGTTTAATGTGAACTGCACTGGTACATGATGACATCATCATGCAACAGAAGCCCTCCACCAGTGGGAGGGCAACAGAAACTCCATTTTCAGTAACTCCTCTTAAATATTTGCACTTGAAATAACTTCATTCTTTTTCTCAGCATTACATTGCACAGACATGTTGATTTTTCAATCTATGTTCAACTTCTTGAAATTTGCATTCATTCGAAGGAACTTAGCTTTTGTTTCACAAACATTATACATTATAATGAATCCTCAAGTGAGGGTGGCTTCAAATTTGTCCTGTGAAGATATCGAAGTTACAAACACAGGACATATTTCTACTATGGCTTCTGGAGACTCATTGTCTGTTGATGACATTACAGCTATCATGCATAGTGTTGTGGGTTCCCTCATACATGTTGGGTCTCCTCCTACTGTTTCTTCCATTGACTTTCCTTCACCTCCAGTTGAGAATGATCAGGAGGATGACAGATTTGACCAACTGTTCTCCCACTTGGATTTGCTTTCAGTACTTCCTCATTGGTCAAGGAAACTCTGCAACTTTCCAATCTCTTTCTGGATATGATTTCTCAAGTATGTTCTTTTCTTTCTTTTTCATCTGTATCATTTGATTCTTTCTGTTCTTTACTCCATGAAACCAATTCTCAGGAATACTTTGTCTTTCCTCCTTCATCTGATATTAGAATTCATGCTGACTCCTTTCTCAACCAGCTTTGCACCCATAACCACTTGCTTCATCCTCCTCACCTTCTTGACTCTTCTCCTGGCTCACAACCATTTTTCCTTTCCTTTTCTAGATTCCCAGTCTTTGGAATCTCTTTTGCCTGCTTAGGGAACAAATCCTTTGTTTTCTATTTTGCTCTCTAGTGCCCAGTGTTTCTGGCTTCATTTTTTGTTTTCACCACCTACCTGCATTACCTCTTCTTCCTCTACTTTATATCTGAGGCACTTCATTGTGCCCCAGAGGAGTTTTCTGGAGAGAAAGGTTCTTTCCCTTTTCATTACTAACTTTGCTCGTACCTACTTTTTCTACTCTGTCCCTCCTTACTTGGTTCCTCTGCTGTTGGGATGCACTCCTCACTAATGACTACCTCCTTCCCTATCTGTGTGTTCTTCATTGGGCTCCCATTCTTTGCTCAGAAGTCTTTGGTGGTATTCCTGATTCACTAGAGACCTTGGCAAAAGCAGCCTAGTGTCAGTCCCCATTATCTTCTTTAGTTTCTTGTCTTTCTGAACCTTGCCCTTCGACTCCTGTTCCTCGACCATATCAGTCTACTCCTACCCTTCCTCCTCTTCCTACTTCCTGACATCACGTATCATTGCTCATCTCATTGCTGACTATCCTGTTGAGTTGGGCCCAGTGGCTGCACACTTGTCTCACTTTACTAACCTTTGGTCTTAGTTTCCTGCTGATAGTTGGGTTCTTTAGGTTCTCACTCATGATCTTTCTCTTTCCATTTTTCTTCTTTCCCCCTTTTCTCATCTTCACATTTCCTTTTCTCTCCCTTTGACCCTGTTTACCTTCAACATCTTGAGGATGCAGTCTTAGACCTTCAGATCAAAAATGCAATAAAAAGGGTTAACACTCTTCTACGGGTTTTTACTCTTGCCTTTTTGTGATTCCCAGGACAACCGGAGACTAGCATCCACTTATCAATCTATCATTTCTCAACAAGTTTCTGACTATACCACAGTTTCAGATGGAGATTTTCTTTTGTCTCTGGTGGTCTTTTTCACACAGTCTATAGGTAACCAAGGTTGAGGTGTTAGATGCCTTCTTACATATCATGATTGCCCCATCCTCCAGATGTTTACCACATTTCATCCATCAGAATTGAGTGTTTCAGTTTTGTGCTCTTCCCTTCAGCATAGCCTCGGCCCTTTATGGCATGAGGTCCTTCATTTATCCCTTCACAGACTGGGGCTTCAATTCCATTTCTACATGGATAATTGGCTTCTACTTGCCCTTTCTTGGGAGGTGTCCTTCTCTCACACCTCCCTTCTTCTGCAGGAGGCTGCTTGATCGGTATGGCTTGTCAAGCTTTCCAAATCCTTTCTCCCACCTACACAGTATCAGTACATTTGAGTGTTTACTTCAACTCTCATCTCATTTGGGGTCAACCTTCCTCTCTTCACCTACAGGCTATGGAATGTATAGCCACCAAGGTTTGCACTTCTCATTTTAACCTCGCATGAGAAGTTCTTTTGTTTTGGGAACTCCAGCTTCTGTGGAACCACTCATTTCTTTGGGGTATCCACATATGCACTTCCTCCAGTGGAATCTTTTTTAATGATCCATTATCCTTGTTTGTAAACCTCCCTTCTCCTCTTTTCTAGGACTTGTCTTCTGGTCAACTTGAAATGGAAGGAAGTGGGAACATGCCCAACGAACAAAGAGAAGTTCAAACACATTGATGTGTACCCAAATGCTAGAAATCACAATGTCATTCAGAGATGCACTCCAACCCAAGAGATAAGAATCTGTGAAGAGATGGAGATCTGGTTATGGGATGGTAAGGGAACAGTGATCATGGTTCATGATATAGGCTTGGTCTAATCACCAGAATCACTGGTATAAAGAACAAGAATCCAATGGCTCAAACAGGGTATGTGAGAGAATAAACAAAACAATACTAAGGTCCCAGTCAGACATGAGAGTCAATAAAGAAGGACAAATCAGAACAGAGTGAAAAGGATGGGGGAAGAAAACACCCTATAGTAACGGGAATGGCGAAAGGGTTCAAGGCCCCTGCCTCATGACAAGCCATGAGAGAAACCCATTGCGAATGAGTCCAGAAGAGGAGGTTCAAAGCCTGAATGCAAAGAGTCCTGGAGCAGATGGCCCCATGATAACTGATATAAGAAATGACTAGAATTGTTGGAGTACATTATGACCAACAACCTTTTTTAGCTCATGGCTCCCTTTTGAGTTTGATTTATCTCTGTGGCTCCATCCTTCATAGATGCTGTTACTTAGGAAAAAAGTTACTTTATTTCCACTCCGTTGAATTATAATATATTGATAATATTATTTTTACAATATTGTATTGTTTTTAAATATTTTGTTTATAACATACTGTTTACTTATACAAATAAAAAATATTCTGTTAATCATTGACATTTTATTCAGTGTGATCCTCAAGCCTGATGAATACTTGAAAGTTTTTGAATGTCTGGTTGCAGTGTGGTCAGTGATAAGCGAAGATCACCTCTCTTCACAACATCAAGGCGGTTATGTATTTTTGATACCAATTAAGTCACCCGACTAAAAACAGATTCATCCAGATAAGATCTGGGAAAAGCGATAAAATATAACTTTGACTTTTCCCAGAGCTATGGAAACTTATTAACTATTTCACTACTTATCCGGAAATAATGTGTGTCATGTTTCAATCTAGCTTGGGCTGTTATTTCACTCTGCTGCTCTTGAAAATCAGTCAAAAACATTCACAGATACTAGACAAACATTTTAATTGTTACTCAAGTACTAGTCATGTCTGGTAACTTGACTTCAGAGCTGTAGAGGATATGGGGAGAAGGGAACCTTTGATTCAGTTTTAAATTTTAAATATTTTATTCAGGCAGTGAAGTTTCAGTGGCCCACTCAGAATTTACTGTGGCCCCCTAATTTTCCATCATTCACATGTGGCTCCTTAGAAACATGGTGTGGCCCCTTGGGGGGGGAGGGGGGGGCATATGGCCCATGTTGAGAACCACTGCTGTATACCATTTTTCTCTTAAGACTTCACTTCCTTTCTTCTCATCTGTGATTGCTGTCATTCAGATATCTATGCTCTTGATACTTCTTGCACTCTATTCTATTACACTTATTTATTCCTCTATCTGGACAGTTTTCAGTTGCTCAGGAAGATGACAATTTTTTCTCTTCCTTTTTTTCTCTCTATTTCTCACTTCTATGCTCGTTCAGACCCAAACTTACTCCTATCCCCAGTTTGATGTTTTGACGTGAACTTCTCCCTTTTGGGGTCCCTGTCATCATCTGTTTCTACCCTGAGATCCCTCTTCATCTAGGGACCTCTCACCTTCTACCCTTGCAGGATGGGTCCATTAACTCCTGGGATTGGTGTATTCTTCCCTGGATATTGATGCTCACAACCTTTTTCATATTTTATTGCATTAGATTTGTCACCTGTCTCCTCTTCTTACATCTCATTTTTGCTGGCCCTTAAACAAGATCCTCCAGGCAGGCATGTGGACAACACCCCATATGCTTGTTGCTCATTATCTTCATCATCTGGCTGTTTTCTCTCTCTCTCTCTGGTTGCCATTCTTCAGTTGAACCAACATCTTTGTGATGGTTAGGTATGTTTCTTTTTCTCTCCATTCTGTTTACCAGGATCCCAGCAGATGGCTGGTGTTTCTTCCTAGAGTGTGTTTATTTCCTCAAAACCACTAGAGGTATCCTTGTGGTATACAAAATTACTCAATTTCCTGATCCACAATGTACCAATCCATGGCTTATCATGGAAAAAAAGCCAGCACCAGGGAAGTGACTGCCTGCTTCTTTCGCTTGCACTTGCTGGCGTTTTAATACAGGGTTTTGCAGTCACCCTTTGCACTTTCTCCAGTAAAAGACCTATCTAAAAGACAGTTAATGGGGGATCCGAGCACTTCTCTGGGTCTTCCCAATGCAAATCCCCCTCCCCAAGTGCTCACAGAGTTCCTATTGGTGGAATGTTATAGCCTAATACTGATTGCATTGTAGACTAGTTCAGTACCTTGTAATATTAATACATGTAGGATGTAGGGGTGGAAGTTTTGTTCAATGCTTTGCACTTTCACAAATAATTTTTTTGGCAGTGGTATGAGATAATAGCTATCTGTTTTGTGGAGAGGTATCTACTTGAAATACATCTTCAAATAAGGATAATGTTAATTTTACAGCTAATTTTAATGATTGACCCCATACAGTCTCAGAAATTAGTTCATAAATGTATAGCTGCTACACCAGCTGTAATTGACAGCTAGAAATTTTTTCATGTAGGAAAGAAGTCACAGATTTATTACCAACAATTTTTTAATCTAGTTTTACAAAATTCCCCCTTTAAAATAATTTGATTTCTAATGAACTAACATTTTTTGTGTGTTATTAACATTACTGATATAAAGGTATTTTTATTTATTTTTACTGAAAGTGCAGTAAATAACATATTAGGCCTCATTAACATAAAACTGTTAAATGAAACTCAAAATACCATAGTTTTTAATTTACAGAAAACAAATTAGGTAGCATACCAAATACCGTTGTAAAATGAGTTGTTCCTTGTTATATGCTTTCAATTCCAATTCAAAACTGAAAAATTATATGTAAGGCTAACAGAAAGGTGTGGGTTTTCACTCAGTAAACTTGCAATTAAGTTATTAGTTGTGATTTACAGTTTTTAAAATGTATAATATATTAGCAAAAAAAATTGAAAATTGTATATTCATATGAGTTTGTTACAAGAAATGTTATACACTATAGTACCCAAATGTCACACAAGTCAGTGTTAGAAACCAATTACAAACATACAAACTTAAAAATGTTCACATTTAACTGAAAATAAGTTTGATATTAAAGTGAACACCACTCTGACATATGTAAGACATGATCACTTGTTTACAGACTACCTGTCTGATGTTATCCCTGACCTTAGAAACCAATGTTAATAGAGTTAGTAAACTGCAAGTCATATGTGAGCAGTCATAACTTTGGTTTTCATGTCTTATATAATACTGTAAGTTTTAAGCAAATCCAAATATAAAGTCAGAACTGAAAAGAGAAAAAAAGCAATACCATTACTATTAGAGTAATATTTGTTTCTGACTGAATCCACCTATAACTAACATTATGTTCACATACAAAAAAACAACAACAGTCTTTGTAATTTTTCCATGATATTCTGGAACAGGTTAGAATTTGGCAGAAATCATGCTTGTAAATGGCTTCCCTATATCAATTAAGGGCAACTGTCAAATCTCAATACTGAATGTTTAATAGAACCATCAAACTCAAATATTTTCATCAAATAAGATTCTACTGTAACTATTAATTTTAAACAATTACAAATATTGATAGCAGAATTATGTAATAGTATAAACAATTAAAATTATTATTAAAAACATTTAACTTGAAAAACAATAATTTTGTTTCTTTTTAACAGCATTCCAGAATTTTTGTGAAGCACCAAACTGCTTGGCTTTTGGGGTATTGTGGGAACCCTCATTGCCCACCTAATCAGATACCTGGTTTTTCTTTTACCTTAGGAGCCAACATATTCACTAATATGGAATATCTTCACAAGAATACTATATGTCTGCTTCTGATTTACATTTCATTTTCCACTAGACTGGGGAGGAAACTTGTTCAAACATATGCAGCTATAAAAATATATTCTAAGAACCCTTAAAATAAATTAAGATATTTTATGATATGTCAACCACACAACATCTGCTATATCTAGTGCCAGTGAGGCCTTCTGCCCAATATCAAGGTAATATATTTGCCCAATGAATAACAACTGTTATAGTGTGAATCAAATTAAGTAAGTGAGTGGCAATTATTATCAATTTTATTTAAGGCATGTATGTGTTTGTACTACTACAGTTTATACTTTTGTTTATGATTAGGTTTACAAATTTTTGTCCAATTGTGAAGGTAGGCTTCATTATTTTTGTTTTAGTATTGAAATTCATCTGTTTTGTACAAGAAAGATACAGGTAGATGTGACATCTAAACGTAAATCTTCATGTCTTTTTCAGAATGGAGCACATAAGCTTAACAAAGAGCTTAAGAATTATATCTTCTGTGTTCGAGGTAAGATACATTGAGCTATTTTTTTTCTTTTTTAGATAGAAATTAACATTCATTTAGAACTATATGTACATACATGCATACATACATTCACACACACATATATATGTATATATATATATAATATATATATATTGTTGCGTATCTGCTTGTTTGTTAATTTCCGGTATAAATTCTTTCCGAGGAACTTTAGCGATACAAGTTCCTTCTTGATTAAAACTAGTTTATCCTTTCTCGATACAAACTTTGTAATACACAGAATTTCCACAGTGAGTACGTACCTTGTCACTCTAAACTTAACAACTTTTATAACACACGCTATAAACCACAGTGATTCACACACACTTTACTTATGGTGCCTACTGTTCGCTTGACTCAATTATCTATCTGCCGCTGGCTTTCTTTGCCAGGCTTATATATACTGATGACTAACTCTCCCAT